AATTTTGTGTCCACTGAATATCAAATGTGGACACACAAGCATTCATTTCCTCTTGTTTTTATATAAATGTGGCTGTCCAGTAAAGGGGTCATGTGGTTTCTTTTTTTTTTTTTTTTTGTGGTGCTGGGGTTTGAACCCAGGGTCTTGTGCATGCTAGGCAAGCACTCTACCAACTGAGCTATATCCCCAGCCCGGTCATGTGATTTCTACACCACAGGTAATTACTTTTTTCTACTGTTACTAACAAGCAATTTGTGGGAGAAAACTTCCAAATTATGCAACTATCTTGTTTCCTCATCAATATTTGTACCCTCGACTTAGCACCTCTTAGTGATTTTGGCCCCAGCCAGTCTTCACTCAGTGCTGGGTGGTGACTTCTCAGTTCTGACCCTCCCTCCTCCCTTACTGATGGCCGCTGGGCCACCTGCCTTCAGCAAGGCACCTCCTTGTCTGCCCTGTCTGTTTGATCCATTGTCACCATGGACCTGTGGACTCCTAGAATCTTCAACAATTGACTATTTATTATTGCCCTTTTGGTGCTCAAACTGCTCCATATTTGATCAGTACCCGTTCCTTGTGAAAGACGTTCATTAGAGCTAGAGTTCTAACATGAGTTCTAACATGTAGTGGGTTAAGTCAGAAGGAGACCTTTGGAGGAACGTGCAACGAGTGTTACCCTGTGCCCTTGTGGCATTGTCCCTGCATTCACTTCCCTTACCTGCACAGCACAGGAGCTGCTGGCCTGCACAGGGACAGAGCCACTGTTAGAGGGGTGGAGCCCCCCGTGTGGTCACTAATCCGCCTGTGTGCTGATTCCACGTGGGGGGCCTCTGACCTCAGCTGCACACTTGCCAACTTCCGTGTATTTGCTCTTCACTTCTATTATATTTTCTCCTGATCACGTTTGATATTTGGAAAATCATCAGAAAGATTCTGTTCTTTTCCAGTGACATTTTTGATCCGTCTAGCTTTACTCCGCACAGCGTTACTTCAGGCCAGTAGGAGGCTGGCCTGCCTCAGTTACTGGACAGTCTCGTTCCACTTGTAGTAACACGTAGGAAGTGGCGCGTGACTCAGCCACTACTCTGCTTTCTGGAAATAATGAGTGTTCAGAGCACCTGTGATCAGATATAAATGGAAAGCGTCTTTCTCCCGGCCTACGCGTTCCGCACATGTTCCCTGCTGCTCAGGCCCTTCAGCAGTCTCCATCTGGCTCCTGAAATTTTTACAATTTTTAAATTGGTGAAGAATTGTATAGTCAAAAATATGCTAATAGTCTAGTGGGTGGTGGGAGCTGTAGCGCTTGCCCAGCATGTGCCAGGCCCTGAGTTTGATCTCTGGCACCTCAAAAAGAAAAATTCAAAGACCCATATTTCAAATGAAAACTTTCTATGTTTATGCCAATAGTATCCTTTAAATTTGTTATTTAGCATTTAAAATCCATACTGCCTATTGGCCAGATGCATCTTTTTTTGTTGTTGTATTTGTTTGTTTGTACTGGGAATTGAACTTGGAGTGCTTAACCATGGAGCCACAACCCTAGCCCTTTCTATTTTTTGAGACAAGGTCTCACTAAGTTGCTGAGGCTGGCCTTGACTTTGCAATCCTCCTGTCTTGGCCTCCCCATCACTGAGTTTATAGGTGTGTGACACAACACTCCACTGAATATATATTTTTACATAGTATTATTTAAAGTGTTGAACATATTTGTTCATGGTTTCCAGTAAGAGTATATCCCTATTGTTTGTATGAATTTTTTGGAAACTTGATGGTAGGTATTGTATTTTGAGTTCATGATTTTGAAGTACATATATATTAAATCTAAATCCTTTGAGCCGGGAGTATAGAACAGAGGTAGAGAGACCCTGGGTTCCATCCCTAGCACATGGAAATCTTTTTTTTAGTTAAAAAAAATGTATAGATTCCTTTAATATTGTCAGTTAAGAACACAGTACGTGCAGACTAAATCACAGGACTATAATCACTGAGTTTCTCCCCACCTGGAAGGGAGGCATGGAGGGCTGGGGCAGGGCATGCGGCCTCCTGTCGGGGCACGCACTTAGTTCTGCTCTATTTGAATCTGGGTTGTGCTTTCTCCACTCCACCCTCCAGTGTTTTCAGGGTTTGGTTTCTTTCTTTTTTTTCCTTCTCACGTGTGATTTATGAAGAAGTAGGTTCACAGGACTCAGAGCAAAGGCCTGGAGGGCGGGGGGCATGACTTTTCAAACACAAAGCAACACTCACTGAATCCAAGACTAGATCTGCAGATCGAACATAAACGCAGTTTTTCATCTTGTTTTCAAAATATACTTGAGCAGCTTGCACAATCCCAGCCAAGGTGTGTGTTAGCCATTTTATGACCGAGGACTCGGTGGCTGCCACTGTGGGGCCAGGGACAGGAGTAACAAGGCCCAGGTTCCCTGCCTGCCCACTGTGAATGGACTGGTTCACTAGCCTGAGCCTCAGTGTGAGGGGCGTGGCGGGGTGGCCCGCAGGGCCAGAGCACTAGAGTCACCCAGCGCCTGTCCTCAGGAGTGTCCTGGCCGCACATCCTCAAGTCCTCAGTACACCGGGTTGTGGAAACAAAGTCATAGAGAACAAAGACTATGGCTGCCGAACTTCAGCCTGGGTGGCTCTCATGATTTAAGCCAAATTATTTTTAGGCATTTTTTTTTTCTCAGTAACTCTAACTTGCCAAAGATAGAGTACTTAATCTTCAGATAATTGAAGTGAATTTTGTTTGTGTTTCATCTTTAACAAGGACTTAGTTGTTCAGGGGGTTAAAATAGATGTAAAAGAAACTCAGAGTATTTTAATACCTAAGATGACTAAATGATGATCAAACAGCACATGAATGTCCTCATGTTCTCGGCCATGGAAGGCTCCTTCTGCAAAGAATCCCCTCTGATTTTTCATAGTTTGGGGAGGGAAAGCGTGAAGGACGCAGGAGGGAAAGCTGGTGAACTGGGCGGTGGCACCCTGAGGGCTGGGGATGGCTGAGCTCTGACTTCACAGTGTGTGACCTCCTGGGTTATATACCAGTAGGCAATGCTCTGTCCTTCCACCTGCAGAGGTTAGGGACATGGCTCATGGAGGATTCAGTTGTTGCTCAGAACTGGTTTGTCTGGGACACCAGGAGAACCGGGGAGTGACCTGTTGCACCTGTATTTTGGAAAGACCCCTGGCCCCTGTGAAGAAGGTGATCCCTAAGAGAACACGAAGTCAAGGAGGGGTGTCCACATAGATAAGGCCTGAGCCGGGCTTGGGTACAGGGAGGCAGGAAAGGACCTTAAAAGAGTCAGCTGGCAGCACCCTGTGGGGATGAGGAGATTCCTCCCCTTACTGCTGGTTGAACAGACTCAGCGGGTGTCCATGATGTCACCTGTCCTTCCCACATGTCCTCTCCCTGGCAGGAAGGAGATAGGAGCCTGGGAAGGGCCGGCACAGCCTTTGCCCGAGGAAGCACGGTGAGGGAGGGCATATCTTCCCTAGAGGCAGCCACATGGAGGCACCATGTGCCCAGCAGCGGGCCTCAGCCCTGAGTAAGACACAGGCGAGCGGGGCCCTCATGGCTGGCTGGCAGAGCTGGGGCGAGGAGATGAGGGGTGGGGGCGACTTAACCCACACACCTGTCCAGTCTGAGGTGCCTCGGGGGTGTCCAGGCGGAGGAGTCCAGGTGGAGGTGGGAATTCTGAGTCAGAGGTGAGGGGAAGTCAGCTGTCTTGAATGCTCCTGGATGGCAGCGAGAGCCACTTGTGCAGAGTCACAGCTGAGGCCACGGTCTTTCCCTGAGTCCCACCACAGTCCTCGTTTTTACCCTTCCCCGGAGTCATTCAGCTCACCACGGGGTTCTTTTTACTTATGCGTGACACTAGAATTCACTTGGTATAATATACAAGCATGGCATATATCTTATTCTAATTGGAACCCCAATCTTATGGCTGTACATGATGGTGGGTGCACTCGGGTGTATTCGTGTAAGTTCATGGGGAATGTATATTGGGCTCACTCCACTGTCTTTCCTGTTCCAAACCCCGCTGGCTTCCCTCATTCCCCTTTGTCTAATCTACTGAATATCTGCTCTCCCCCTGTCCCCCCCGTTATGGTGGTTATCTTCCACATGGCAGCAAAGACACTCAACCTTTGGCTTGGGGGACTGGCTTGTTTTGCGCAGCCTGCTGGTCCTCAGACCCTTCCATTTACTTGGAAGGTCATAAAGTCACCTTCTGCCTGGCTGAGTAACACTCCTGTGTACGTTCTAACCTGGCCACTGAACTGTGGGTGAGCCATCCTGTTGTCTGGCTCGGTGTGGTTCTGAATGATTCTGTGTCAGGTATCGGATGCACTTGGTTCCTGGAGACAGGTCAGCAGAGAGAGCCTGTCCCTCACTCTTGTCAGAGGAAAGTGGCAAAACGTCAACACGCTGCTACCAACTGCAAGAGACAAGCTCCGCAAACTGTGTGGTCAGACCGCTGCTCTCTGCAGTGAGGCTCTTTGTCCTAGAACATTCTCTCTGTCATGTGACTGCCCCTGTTTCAGAGAAGTGGTGTCATCCCGGGAGACCTGGGGCTGAGCGCGGTCCTGGCTGCGGTTTCCCCTGGCACTCATATTTTCCAGAACAATACAAGAACTACAGCGGAAGGAGAGGGAATAGCCACTTTCTCGTATGACTGGCAAATAGTCAGATTACTCTGGAGGTCAGATAAAAATAACTAATTTGTTCCTATAGTTAGTTCCTGTCATGACCGAGGTAATCTTCTGTAAGAAAATTTCAAAATTAATCAGATCTAGGTTCTGGCTTAGGAAATGAGTAAAATAGAACAATGTGGATTTGAAGACGGTGGGCTCTGGATGTTGTGAAGAAAGTCTGCCCCCAGCCGGCCCTCCTGGGACACCCTGGGGACTGTGGCCCTGCTGTGCTTCCTCCCACCCCTGTGCGCCCTTTGTATCTGTGCGGAGAGTGTGCTGGCTTCGGCTAACGGGTCTGGTTTTGTCCACAGGCCACGTCCTCATAGAGATCTCCAGCACCCACAAGAAGCTCAACGAGACTCTCGATGAGAATGTATGTGGATGTCTTTATATTTGCAAAATATGTTCATTTTATTTTTAAATTTTATTTTGCCTAAAATCACAAATCTGGTGTGGATTTTTTATCTCCTTTTGTTAACAGTTCAAAAAATTCCATAAAGAGATTATCCATGAGCTGGAAAAGAAAACAGAACTGGATGTAAAATACATGAACGTGAGTAGAGTGGTCACCCTCCCCCACCCCGGGGTCTGACCTCGTGGCCCCAGAACTTTCCCCATTGCTCAGTCAGCAGCCAGTGGCGTGGGGGTGGCCTTGATACAGGCCTGCCTGGCGTTGATACGGGTCTGGCTGCATAAAACCAGCAAGCCCTTTGGGCTGAGTAGGCCCAGTTTTGCCACCACGCGGGATCTGCATTAAAAGAAGCGTAGAAGAAAAAATATGGAAGAAATCACAGTGCCCTGGAGAGCAGGAGTCTCAGAGGGTGCTTCTCTGTGACAGGGCCACTATATCGTGTCCTGCAGCCGGTGCTTTCACAGACCAGCGGTTGAGGGCATGAGTTATGCGTGGGAGGGTGCCAGAAGCCTGTCCTGTGGGTGCCTCTTGCCTGTCACCCAGGATCGTCCATTTCAGTGGTTTTCTGGGCTCTTTCCATTTGGTCCCCCGCCGCAGTGCATGTGCTCTCCCCATCTTTCATTTCTGCTCTAGAATGCTTGCTTGCTTTTGCCACCCCAAGTCCCCTTTCTTCTTAACAAGACCCCATGTGGCAGTAAGTGATACAGGTTACCCCCAAATCATGCCCACCCACCCACCCACCCTGCCGCCCGTGTGGCCTGCACAGTGCTTTGCTGTGCACTGCTGGAGAGACCCACAAGGCCTGACACAACTGTTCAGGCACATTTAATTCTGAGCCTTTTGTGTATGTTATCTGATTTTAGTCCCTACAAAAACCCCATAACGTACATGCAGCTTAGTAGAAGGAAGGCATGGATTTTAGAGAAATTAATTGCTGAGATCACACAGGCAATGAGAGTGTAACCTGGCTCTATGAGGCTCCGACACTAAGTTCTTAAACACTCTATTGCTGGACATGGTGGTGCAGCCTGTAATCCCAGCAGCTCAGGAGGCTGAGGTAGGAGGATTGCAAATTCAAAACCAGTCTCAGCAACTTAGCGAGGTCTAAGCAACTCTGTGAGACCCTGTTTCTAAATACAAAATAGGGCTGGGGATGTGGCTCAGTGGTAGAGCGCTCCTGAGTTCAGTCTCCGGTGTGTACACACACACACACACACACACACACACACATCCACTCTGTTACACAGGAACCCCAAAAAGCCACAGGCAATTGCATTTATTCATTCCGTCTCTTGTAGGTTGACTCAAAAAACAGGAACATGTGATTGAGTTTATGTAATCACTAAAACACATACTTACCACCCAGTGTCCAAAAATCTTTGAGGAAAAGGAAGAATAAAAGAGACTGTTGTTCCTGGAGAGCTGCCCTTGTGGTCAAGGGCCCTCATACAAGCAGGGGACATGAGAACAGACAATCCCAACATGTTCAAGATGAATGGGGGGATCTGTGTGAAGTGTGGGTGTGAGGATGTCAGAGTTGCAGTGAGCCACACAGTGATGCATGAGCAAAAAAATGGTCACGCGTGGTGCCTCAGTTAAATAAGCACAACATTTAATTTACAGGCAACTCTAAAAAGATACCAAGCAGAACACAGGAATAAATTAGATTCTTTGGAGAAATCTCAAGCTGAGTTGAAGAAGATCAGAAGGAAAAGTCAAGGAGGACGAAATGCACTAAAATACGAACACAAAGAGATCGAGGTGAGCTTTTCCTCGGTGTTTGCTTTTGCTGAAGGGTATTGTTTGTACACTGTACAGGGAGGCAGGGCTGTGCCTACTCACTGCTGTGCTACTGCTGTAGTTAAAAGTAAGCATTATTTATTAAAAGTATTAAGAGCTGAAGACTGCAGAATTTTCCAGAGTCAAAAATGATTAGTCCGTGAATTGGGTTTGGCACACGCCTGTCATCCCAACTACGCTGAGGCAGGGGATCCAGGTTCAAGGCCAGTCTGAGTACTTTATTGAGAGCCTGCCTTAAAGTTTTAAAAAGAGTTGGGAATGTGGCTCCGTGGTAGAGCACATGCCTTGGGTTACATCTCCAGCACCTCAGAAAACAAGCAAGAAATATAACTGATTGGGTCAGGCGTGGTAGCACATGCCTGTAATCCCAGCAACTCGGGAGGCTGAGGCCAGAGGATCAATTTTGAGGCCAGCCTGGGCAACTTAGCAAGACCCTGTCTCAAAATAAAAAAAGGACTGGAGATGTAGCCCAGTGATGAAGAGCTCCTGGATTCAATCCCAGCCTCAAAAAAAAAAAGTAATACGTCCACGGCCACCTAAAAACATTAGCATTTCCCCCTGACGTGGGTAGGAGCAGGGGCCTCCTTGACTGGTATTGCTGTCCCCATTTAACACCCATTTTACAGTGAGGGGAAGTGAAGTTTAGGTTAATCCTATGGTTGGCATTTGGAACCCGGGCTTAAACCTGGAGCTCTCTGGCTCCAAAGTCCACAGTGCTCTCCAGGAGAACGCCGTCATCACGACCATACCTCTGGGGCACAAAGTAGTATTTTGTGCTTGGTGTCCAGTGGGAATATGAAACTCCTGGCCACTTCTTTCCACACGTGAGTCAAGGACCTTGATGATGGTATCTGCTCTAGTCAGATTCCAACTCTGCCCATAGAAGGTCTGTCTGCATTTAGTGTTTATTCTGTTATCAAAATAAACTGAGCATAAAGATGACAGGAGATAAATGTCAGGCCATGCAGCTATCTGATGCCTTGTGTCATACTTTTATCATTGTTGTTTATTTTCCTAGTACGTAGAGACTGTTACTTCTTGTTGTTGTTTATTTTCCTAGTACGTAGAAACTGTTACTTCTCGCCAGAGTGAAATCCAGAAATTCATTGCAGATGGCTGCAAAGAAGCTCTGCTTGAGGAGAAAAGGCGCTTCTGTTTTCTAGTGGACAAACACTGCAGCTTTGCAAATCACATACACTATTATCACTTACAGGTGAGTGTGTGGGCAGATCGCAGTAAGTGTACCAGCATAAGCAGATGCCCTGGATGCTCTCCCTTCTGGGTAGGCCCCCTATAAAGCAGTGGTAGCCTATTTGCCAATAAGAAGATTCAAGAAAAAATTATTTTTTTGCCAACTTGAATGTGTAAACATATAAAAATACAGATATATTTATCATATGTTTACTTATAATATTTAATTAATTTAGTAATCACCCATATTAAAATTCCTTATAATGCTTATTCATTGAGAAATAGCACCTTTTTTCTTTCTCACCTACAAATTGATTTTTCATACACTCTGATGGTCTGGAGTGTCAGTGTCTTTTTTTCTCCCTTGTCCTGAGGATCAAATCCAGGGGCACTCGACCCCCGAACTATACCCTTAGCCCTTTTTATTTTGAACCAGGGTTTCACTAAGGTGCCCAGGCCAGCCTTGAACTTGGGATCCTCTTGCCTCTGCCTCCGTGAAGCTGGGATTACAGGTGTTCTCCTGTGCCAGTGTCTTGACCAGGGCCAGCCCCTGGGTGGTCTGAGATGCTTTTCTTGTAGACTTTGGGGGGATGGTCACTGGCAACTCTGCATCAGCATGGACCCCCATTCATACCCATCAGGACAGCTGGTCCCATTACTGTTCACTCATCTTCAAGGTGTTCATTCATGATCCCCTCAGCTGAGTGGTTGACTGACTTAGTTCCCTGCTCCTGACACGTGCAGCTGTGAGGTTAGAACCCAGGAGCTATTATACAACGTGCTAAATTTTCCTTCCTCTTCTATTTTTTTTTAATTATGAATTCTCTGGGGCCTATGTATGTATCCAAAACTAGCACTAATTGAGGTCAAATATCCACCGTTGTTCATAATAAGGTAATTCAGAGAGTGCTCCACAGTAGGAGATGCTTTGCAAGAGCTTAAACATAAGTCAACTGTCCCTCTCTTTTGGGGGCAGTCTTGGCCTTATGTGTGTATGTGCATATGTTACCTATTCTAAGAAGGTTTTGCAACTTGAAAAAATATTCAGCCAACTAATACATAAATACCTAAGATTTAAAATTGTGATAGCAAAAAACGAACTACTATATTAAGTGTTTGCTTTTGTTAACCTTACACTACTTAGAGCAATGTTGAGGTAGCTTTAGAAACTTGTTTCCATGGCGAGGGCCTCGTCCTGCAGCAGGGTCATGCGGTGGAGAGCTGTAAGTGGCCCTGAAGCTCCCTTCCTCTGGCCAGCCCCACTGTGCCGTGAGGCAGCCTGTGCTGTTTTCAAGGAGCGCCATTTATTGGCAAGCTCATTCTTAGACTTAACCTGGGGTCCCTGCTATGCTTTGAAGTGGCACACACCAGTTATATGTTTTCTTTACTAGAACTTCTTTGACTATCTGAAAACTGCTTTGTGACTTCCCTTATCACAGCCAAAGCATCCCAGTCTTTTTTGTGGCTTTGGATGAGGCAGGGCCAAGCTGCTGGTCCATTGTGTGGCACTGCCCCAGTTTGTCAAGGGAATAGTCAGGGTGGGCTTTGCTGGGGGTCCTTGTGTCCCCAGGATATATATCAGCATCCCCAGCCACTCCTGATAAACCTAGAGTCTGCATAGGAACCATGCGATCGCCATGTTAAGTAGCTTCAGGAATGGCTCCTACTTCCCTTCTCTGGCCAGACTGCTGCCCTGGGACAGGGCTTCGCTGAGAGGCTTCCGGAGGCTCTGGGAGTCCCATTGCCAGAAGCAGAGTAGGCTTGAGGGAGCAGGGGGGCTGTCCCAGCCTCCGGGCTCCTCTGCCCACCTGTGCCTCTGGGCTGTCCCTGCTGCTCCAAGAGGCCTTGCTTAGCTTGTAGGAAGGCATCCTTGGTACTTCTACCACACCCTGCCTGGGGTCCTTCCATCCCAGGCCAAAATCTGACTGACTTGTCAACATGTGCCTTGGTCTTCTCAAAGTCCAAGGGGGTTCCTGGGCCTCTCACCATCAACTGAGGGGATGTTCTTAGGAGTAGGAGGAAGGAGACTGTGATTGGTATTTCTGGGGCAACTCAGAAAATAGTGAGATTCATAGATTGCCCACCACTGCCTCCTTTAGCATTTGAACTGATTCTTTCTTTGGGGTCAGGTGTTTTGTCATTTTTGTTTGTTGGTTGGTTTTGGTGCCTGTGCATGCCAAGCACGTGCTCTACCACTGAGCGCACCCCAGCCCTGGGCGATTTCTACTTATTTGCTACCTCTGCATTAGGTGTGTGTTTACACTGAGGCAGCAGAGAAGTTCCTTGAGGGTGGAGTCTGCTGCCATCTCAGCAAATGAGACACAGCAGGTGCTCACAGACGCGTACCCCAAAATAACACCCCCAGTGGACTGGCCCAAAGGACCAGGGCTTCCTGAATTAAACTCGGAGCTCCCCCCTTCTGGTGGGAAGCCAGTGATTCATTATCAGTGATGCCACGCGATGCGGTGTTGCCAGCTCTTCACAGTGCACCTCTGTGTTTACTTTGTTTCTTTGGGATTTACAGTCTGCAGAATTACTCAATTCCAAACTGCCCAGGTGGCAGGAAACCTGTTGTGATGCCACCAAAGTGCCAGAGAAAATCATGAACATGATAGAAGAAATAAGAACTCCAATCTCTACCCCTGTAGCCGGGACACCTCAGCCGTCACCCATGATTGAAAGAAGCAACATGGTAGGAATCGATCACTCTTCTCTATTTCAAATGCATGTTTACTGATATGATTTGGCCCAAAGGACCAGGGCTTCCTTTGTTGGTTGAAATCATGATCTCTCCTTGTCTACTTTTCTCAGCTTTTTTCCTTTACCTTCAGATTTGGAATTAGCTGTGCAAATGTGGAATACTATGTATAGCACTTTTGTCTCTTTTTAAAAATTTTATTGTTACTCTTTTTAATTGTAATGATTCCAGCTTTATAAGTTTATCCCCAGTGAAGAAAGTATAGGTGTCTTGGAAAAGAGACTGAAAATCTCCTGTGCCATTGACCCAACGTCAGTCACTCGGGGGGGGGGG